TGGTGGTGGTGGAGGTGGAGGTGGTGATGGTGGTGTAAGTGGAGGTGATGGTGGTGGTGTTTGGATGCAGTCTAGTCGGCTCCTTCTGAGAGAAGGAAACAGAATGTGTACAACAGAATGAAACTGCCCTGTGAATTCATCTTGTCGAAAGGCTTCCTCTCTTTCGCAGACCCTATACCTTAGCAAGCATGGTGTTCTTTTCCAAGGACTGGCCTCTCCAGATAACAGAGAACTGGTAGGGGTCACTAAGTCCTCTGTGTGGCCCCTGGTAGCATGACAGGTGAAGCCTACCCGAATGTCTGACCGTTTGAGCTCACCCAGCCACCCCCGGAGAAAGACCTAGCGCTCCGTTTGCAGTCAGCTCCTGGGGAACCCGTGGCACACCATCTGCTCGGCCTCACCCGGGCTGCTGCAGGCTGGGTCCGACTTGACAGCCACTGGGAAGGGGCTCAGGTGCTCCCTCCCTGCCCTTGACTCTTAAGCCAGTTCCCGGGGTGGGGTGGGAGGGATTGCTTTTTATGTTTTCGCTTCTCTACTGATGGACAAGCATTTCTTTTTCCACACAAATGAGGAAACGTCCATTTGATTACGTTTTCCAGGCTGCCCAGTTCCACAGCACAGGACGCCTGGGGGTGCAGGCTGCAGAGGGTCACCCTAGAAACGGCACCATCCAAGGAGTGGATGCTGGCTTTGAGGGGGAAAGGAGCAAGCAGATGGGTGACCCGGGAGGCCCCCTCCCTGAGGTCTTTCCACTCCAATTCAAGCCAACCACAGTTCCTTCCTGAAAATAGTGCCAACTTCACCCAACCCAGCTGCCCTCACCTCTACCAAAAGCCACCTCCACACCCAAGACACAATCCCAACCAACCACGCTTCCCACTGAAGACCCTAACCCATGAGCAGGGAGGCCAAGCCCATCCCCAAGCAGACAGACCTGGCCATCTTTCAACTGCCACCGTCTCCCTTTCTGCCCACCATTCCACTAGAAGCCACCACTCAGTTCTTACCCCAGCTGGACTTCTTCCCTTGGCCCTAGACCTAGCCCTGAATCCAGGACCCTAATCCCACCCCCCAGTCCTGTTTGGACCTGGCAAGGCCTCAGCCAGAAACATAGCCATTACCGAGGGCAAAGCACAAGGCATTCTTGGGGTGCTGGGGAGCCCAAAGGCAAGGATTTCTGCAACTGCAGACAGAGAGGAGGTCCATGTGGACGAGGGTTTGGTCTGTGGATGTGCAGAGTGACCGGATGATCCTAATATTCTTCCCATGCCCACAGGTGCCTCCCGGAGCCCATGAAATACTGTAAACCTGGGGAAGGGAGGTTAAACTCACTCCCTCTGTCCCTGAGCCCGAGAATAACCGTGGCATCCCCAGTTACCACACACACACACACACACACATACACACAGCCTCAAAAGCTGATTTGACTGGGTCAGCACCTGCTTGCTTCCCACCCCAGTCAATCAGACCCTTCTGAGCATGCTCAGAGCCAGCTGTGAGCCCTGGCCACCATTGCCCTACACCTTCTTTCTTACCACAGGCCAGACTTGGGGGGCTGAGGGAGGGAGCTGTTCAGTTGAGGGCTCTCATTTATGGTGAAGATGACTTCAAATGTACTAGCCCCTCCCTGATCCCTTTCTTGGGGGCTCGGGCCTTTGCTGCCCTTCCTTTGCCCTAACAGTAGTAACCGGGCCAGGACTGAGACTGGACCAGATGGCCAGCAATGCTGCCCGGAGCAGCTTCTCCGTTCCCCAATCTTCCCACCCTCCCTATGCTGATTCCGTTACCAGGACCCGGGTCATGGAAGCTCCCTCCACCCATAAGACATTGTCAATAGCACAGCCCCTGCCCCACCTCGCAAAGCTCTTGCTAGCCCAGGTCCCTCCCCCTCAGACTCAGCACACCTCTACCTGCACCGCCTTCATGGTCCCACAACCAGCTCAGCACCGGCTGACTCGTGCTGCCTCTGCCACGCACTGAACGCTGCAGGCTCTGTCCTGGGCAAATGATCTTCTCTGAGCTCCAGGGCTTATCATCCATCCAGTGGCTCTAGTAATAGCAACCGCCTGATCAGGTTGTCAGGGACTGTACGGTCCGGGGTGGGTCTGGTGAGCACTTCTTAAACGGTACCTCCGACTATTTTCTTTTGCCGCGCTTTAGGGCAGAAGAGCTATTCTCATTTTAGGATCGAGGTTCTCGTTGCTTAAACAGAGCCCTTGGTGGTGGAGTGGCTACGTCTTGGGCTGCAAACCACAAGATCAGCAGTTTGAAACCACCAGCTTCTCTTGGGGTGCAAGACTGGGCTTTATGCACCCCTAATAAGGATTAGAGTCAGGGAAACCCACAGGGGCAGTTCTACCCTGGCCAGGGTCTCCATGAGGCAGAATGGACTCGGTGGCAGGGAGTTCTTTGCTTAAACAACCTTCCCAAGGTCACCCTGACTGTGCCAGGGTCAGAGTCCTGCCTCCCCACACAGATGGAGGTGATGGCTTTGCCTTAGCGAGAAGGCCGTAAGGCGGGGTGGGTAGGGCTCTGTTCGGCAGGGAGAGCAGTGGGCATTCATGAATACCCCCTCCACCATTATTTGGGATGGTTGGCTTGGGCATATCCCTTTTGTACTTGTCTTAGTGGGGTGTCTCTAAACTAGGAGTGAGGGCGCCAATTTCCGACTGGGTGGAGAAGTGAATGAGACCCTAACCAGTGTCAGCCCTCGAGGAGGTGGAGAGAAGCCGACCCCTTCAGCATCGCTGATGCCCAAGGAAGGCTACAGCCGCTTTAGCAGACACATCAGCAGGTCCTCGAATGCTCCATGGCCTCACTGCCATCGAGTGGACGCCGACTCACAGAGACCCGCAGGGCAGGGTAGAAGTGCCCCTGTGCGTTTCTGAAACGGTGACTGCTCACAGGAGCAGCAAGCCCCAAGGTGCTGTGGAACAAACACATTGTCATCAAGGGCATTTCTGACTCCTGGCGATGCCGTTGCTTCCAGAGCAGAACGGAGCTCCGTGGGGTTGTCTCGTGTCCCCTTCACGAGGCAGATGGCAAGGTCTCCCTTCTGAGGCCACCCTGCAGGGGTATGGACCTTGGGGTCAGAGGTCCATCTCAAACCTTTGGCGCCACCGGGAACCCAACCGGGTGACAATTCCACTCTTCCACTCAAGAGGACGGAAAACACCTGTCCACACCAAAGACTAGCCCAGGAATATTCAAGCAGCATTATTCACCCTCACCAAGACGTGGAAACAGCCCCGTGCTCTCAGCTGATCAACAAAATGGGGGATATCCAAGGAATGGGACATTCCTCTGCCGTTGAAAAGAAAAGGGGAAAATGAATGAAGGATTGAGATAGGCTACCATACGGATAAACCTCAAAGCCTGGTGCTGAGAGCAAGAAGCCAGACATAAAGGCGACAGAGTGTAGGATTCAACTTGTCTGACAAGCCAGGACAAGGAAAAATCTATCGAAGCAGAAAGTAAATGACGCGGTTGCCAGAGCCAGGGGAGGAATAGGATGGGTGGTGCTTGCCAAGGCGTGCAAGCTTCCCTTCGGGGTGGTGAGAATGCTCCGGAGCCAGCGGAAAGGGGGCACATTCGGTGAACCTGAGTGAAAACTGTAGAACAACTTTCAAAATCATGAAAGAGCCCGGGCTGCCTGGGTCAGACAGAGACTGGTGGAACCCTCAGGTGACTGTCCTTGGTCAGTCTGTAGCCATGCTCAGCCCTGTGATCCGATTTTCAGGTAAACCGTAGCCAGGTCTGCATGGGAAGCAGTCACGCCAGGAAAACCCACATACACGAGAGCACTCCACCACATACATCAGAGCACTCCACCGCAGGGCAGCCTGTGTTCAGAGCGGGTCTGAAAAAGGAGAACCGCAGGATTGAAGTGGGATTGGATGAATTTACACGGTAGGGGCGGCAATCAATGACACGGAACAAATGCGCACAGAGGTCGAATGGAGGAGGGATTTGTCCTGGGAGCCTTCACTCAATGCATGATAAAATGTTCCAAATAAAAGAAAAAGAAAGAAAAGTTCAGGTTTTAGCATAAACAGTGCCGGTTGCACCGGAGCTCTGGTGGCACAGTGGTTAAAGCGCCCACCAGCCAATCTGAGGGAGGAAGAGGTGGGGGCTGCTTGCTTCCTCCCAGGTGTCCAGCCCTGTGGATCCCTTCTGTCCTCCCGGGAGGCCGTGAGTCAGAATCTACTCAACGGCCAGGAGAATTGTTGCACACTTTGGTGACTTTACCAAACACCATGAAGGGCACACTTTGAAAGGGTGAAGTTTATGGGATGTGGATCATCTCTCAATACAAAGGGGATCATTTCTTTTGAAACATGACCAAGAGCAGTGAGAGGGGTCAGTTGGCACAGCTTCCTGAGAGTGAGGTGTTAGTTCCCATCCCCACCGAGGGCCCGCTTTGAGGAAGGCGTGGAAGGGGGCAGGTCCGTGAATCCCTCTGCTTACCCCACTCCCTTCTCCCTGCAGCCCACATCACGGAGGACAAACCGAATCTTCTCCAGCACGTGCGATTCCAGTCTTGGAACTTTGAAAACATCCTGACCTGGGAGAGTGGGCCAGACAGCACCCAAGACACCGTCTACAGCGTGGAGTATAAAGTGTAAGCCTGACTCGATGCTGAAACCAAACCTCCCGGGGAATCCCCCGTTCCTCGTGGCCCATTGACCGACTTGGACCAACGCCACACAGCTCCTTCCCGATGGAGCCCCGGCCCTTCCTCGGGTTGTTTGCCGAGGGAGGATACAAGCGTGGCATTAGAGCTGGGCAGGCTCTGCAGCCATACTGCCCATCTCAGATGCCCTCTCGTCTTGGGACCTTGGGCAGCCAGGTAACCTTGCCAATTCTCAGTCTCCCCCTCTAAGAAATTGGGGTGATGAGAGTACCCTCATAGGTTGTCCAAAGCAACCCCTTGTTCTTGAGCCGAGTAGGACTTGTTGTGGGTTTCCGAGGCTCATCTTTCAACCAGAAAGCAGCTGATGGGTTTGAACCGCCCACATTTAGTTTAGCAACCGGGCTCTTTAACCACTGGGCCACCGGGCATGAATGTCGGGTTGTTCAACAAAACCAAGCTCGCTGCCATCGAGTTTATTCCGACTCATAGCAACCCCATAGGACGGAGCAGCAGGGCTCCATCGAGTCTCAAAGGCTGTGAATGTTCACGGGCGCACACGGTCCCTTCTTGGGCTGATAGGTGAGCACCGCAGCCCAGTGCTGACCCCACAGTGGCACGAGGGGGCTGGCAGGGGGATTCAGTTAGACCGAGAAAGGAATTAACCCCTGGGCCCGGCATATAAGCTGTTGGTTCTTTATGTATTTGCTTTTTCAGTTGGTCCGATGGGGTCATGAGACAGGTGTGCCTCTCCCAGTCTGTCCCTGTGAGCCCAGCACACGCCTGTTCCTGGTCTTCATTCTTCTCGGGTGGGGGTGGGGGTGCAGGGGGTTGGTGGGGGCTCCGGGGCCTGCAGACCGGGGTTCCCTTCACGGGTCCTGCCAGTTCACCGTGTCAGTTCGCGTCCTCTTTCCAGGCCTCACTCGACGCCCGCATCTGTCCAATGGGAGGGGGATGCCTGGGGCACAGGGCATAGGGGCAACGAGCTTGGGCTGTGGCCTCAGACTGCAGGGTCCATGACTGAGGACCCCATGTGCATATTTTAGATGTTGTCATGAGGTGCTGTGGGGTCCATTCCAACTCACAGCGGCCCTGGTACCACAAGCACTGCCCGGTCTCACAGCAGTTGCCACGTGGGACTGAGCCCATGCTACAGCTGCCTGGGTTTCAGTTCTTTGCACAAACCAGAGAGAGACCAAGGCACGAACCCCCCAGGGCCAGGGTGAGCAGACTATTTGCCTGGGACACAGAAGTGCCACACAGATATCCCGACCCTTCATCACAGAGCGGGGCCTGCCCCTTCCTCGCCCACAGGTATGGCAAGAAACCGTGGCTGGCCAAAGAGGGCTGCCAGCAGATCACCCGCCAGTCCTGCAACCTGACGGCGGAGACAAGCAACCTCACCGAGCTGTACTACTATGCCCAGGTGACGGCCACAAGCCCAGGGGGCCAGACCACCAAGAAGAGGAGCACCCGCTTCAACCTGCTGCAGGACAGTGAGTAGAAGCCTCCAGGCACACACAGGGCCGGGCAGACCTCTGCTGGGGGGCCACCAGGGACCTGCCTCCCAATTCATTTGCCCACTCCCTCCATGGAGCAGCCAGAGAGGTCTGTTCAAACCACATCGGAGTCCTGGCAGTGCTGTCAGGCAAGCACTGGCCTGATAACTACAAGGTCCGAGGTTCTAACCCACCAGCCACTTCTCGGGAGGAAGGTGAGGCTGTCCTACTCCCATAAAGATTTACAGCAGTGGGTCTCAACCTTCCTCATGCCACCACCCTTTCATACAGTTCCTCATGTGGTGGTGACCACCCCAGCCATCAAATTATTTTCGTTGCTACGTCATCACTGTGATTTTGCTACTGTTATGAATCAGGTGACCCCTGTGAAAGGGTCGTTTGACCCCCAAAGGGGTCGAGACCACAGGTTGAGAACCGCTGATTGACAGCCTCAGCAAACCGATGTGGACTAGGCTGTTATAAATCGGAATCAACTTGATGGCCATGTGGGGTTTGGGTTTTGACCCTTTGCTCAGAACCCTCAAATGGCTGCCCAGGCTTCTTAGAATGAGACCCCCGCCTTGGCCTGACCTTCAAAGCCCTGCCCCTGCCTGGGGTCCCCTGCTACGTGGACCGGGGGTCACACGGAGCTCTGCCCTGGCCCGGGACTCCTGCTGCTCCCTGTCGCTGCTCTCATGGCTCTTCACGGGGCTCTTTTCTAAAACCCTGAGCTGTCGGCCTCAGCATCACCCCCAGTGAGCATCCCCACCCCCAGATCAACTCCAGATCTTGGAAACTCACCCCCTGTCAGGACTTCTCCATGCTCTTTAGCGCTCAGACCACGGCCCGCAATGATCGTGCTTGCTTACATGTCTATTACCTCCTGCTCCATTAAAATGCATGGGCGTCTGTGGACTGTGGAAGCTACTGGCCTCCCGGCTCTTACTTAAGACAGGGCCTGGCCCAGAGAAGACACTCAGTACATCATGGTTAAATGACGAAGGGAAAGGATGTCTGCCAAACCCCACATACCAGCTAAAATGCAGTGATGTGCACCAAGGGACTTAACAGTCACGTGGTCTTTTAAGGAAGTCAAAAATATATTGACGCAAGTTGTTAGATTCTGCACCACCATCCCCTGCCCCCCGCCACTCCTGTGCCCCCACCCTACCCCAGCTTTGTTTATTGATCCAGGTTCCTGGGGAAGGAGCCGTGGTGGCATAGCCACCATCGTGTGGGGCTGCAAGCCTCAAGGTGAGCAGTTTGAAACCAGCCAGCTCTGCAGGAGAAAGATGGGGGGTTTCTCCTCCCCTACGTAGTTACCGACTTGGAAATTCACGGGAGCAGCTCTACTCTGTCCTACAGGATCCCTGTGACCTGGCCTCGATGGCAGCGGGTTTGTTGTTTTGTCTACAGAAATACACAAAGACAAAATCCACCCAGAACAAGAACATTCAGACAGAACTGCACTGGCTAACAACTATGTCCACGGTTTCAGAATCTCGCTCTCCCCGTATGAGTCTCGTGAACACTAGCCTCGGCCATTGAGCAGTGTTTCGAAGCATGATGCTTCCTGGCGGTAAAGTGGGTCCTTCCCGGGAGGTGCTCTGATGGACTTACCC